TCTTTCCCTCCCCCACTTCCTTCCTTGTTGAGTACAATCTATAAGGCAATAGTAATATGGTTTTGTGTGTTTTAGAATAGTGATGTCAAAATGGATTTGGGAGTCGGAAAATTTAAACCCGAAAAAAGGGGTCGAACGAACCGAGTTTGATGCGGGTCATAAAAAAATATATTTTGTTTAAATTTTAAATGTTTTAATTTTTTTTAAAGATTTAAATTTTAATTATTTTTTAATATTTTTGTGTTGTTTTTTATTTGATTCGTGAATCGGATTGCGAATTAGAACGATCTGAATTGAAATGGGATTTTTTTTGCTCGTAAAAAACTATTATTACGATTTGGATTCAAAACGAGTTGACTCGGACAGATCCGGACCGAACTAACTCGTTTTACGTCACCTTTTTAGAGGAGAGATTTTGATCCAAGTATCAAGAAGTGATGAAACACAAAACCTATGGTAATATTGTAAGTAGATATAACATTGTGAAACATAGAGTATATGCTCGTACATATCATTTGATTATATTTACATAATTATTATTTAACTTGATGAAAGTTTGAATCCGAACGAAATCCAGATAGAAAGAATACAATTTTTATAAGATAAAAAGAAACTAAACTCAATATAAAAAAAGCTGAAAAAAGGAAATATCAGGTTAAAATTCGAAATATCCACCTGTAAATTACAACTACAAAACACACATATAAATATATATATAAAACGAAAGCTTTATATGAAAAAAACGAGTGACAGCTAAGGCACTCATGAAGGTCAAGAAGACAGAGCAATACATTCAGCGAGGACTGAGACAGAGACATTGTGGCTTCACATGTTCTTTCTGTAAATATCCAACTCATCATCGGGTAGACGTTTCGGGATTCGTGTTGGTATTTTAACGTTCGATTCGGAAACAATTTATTCGGTATTCTAAAATTTGTACCAAATTAGTACCGTATATTATTCGGTTTCGGTACCGGTACAGTTCAGTTTCGGTTTTTGTTAAAAAAAAAACTAGATTTCTTAAGAAATTTCGGTTTTTCAGAAATTTTATAAAGTTCGGTTCGGTTTGATTCGGATCCAGAAAATTCGGTTCTATAAAAATCATACCATTCGAAAATTTTGAACAGTACGATTCAAAAAAAATACCGAAATTTTTCGGTTCGATACGGTTCGGTTCTGAAGAACCGAACCGAAACGTCCACTCCTAATCACTAGTGGATGCTTCGGTACAGTACTTCAAAATCGAAATAACGAATCAAAAAAATTCGATATCAGTTTCAAATCGAACCGTACAAAATTTTTGAAATAATTTTCTTACCGAATCTAATTTTTGGGAATTGAAACCAAAACAGAATTTTAAAGAAATAAAAAAAAAACAATTTTTTTTAAAAAAATTATTTTTTTAATGAAACCGTAACATAACCTCACTCAATTCATTTTCCGAAAAAATTATTTTTTTAATGAAACCGTAACATAACCTCACTCGAACTAAATACGATATAATTATCGATTAGTATATATTTTTATAAAACCGAAAAAATCGAATCAAATAATTATCAAATCGAATACGGAATCGGTCTATCCCTAATCATCACATATTCTCACTCAATTCATTTTCCACTTTTTTATATCAAAATTAAAAAAATTTCTGATGAATAATAAATGGTAAATTAATGAGACATGATATTAATGAAATTTACTACATGTCCTGTCATGTTTTTTATTGTCTTCCCAACGCTTATTATTACTACTACGTATATCCATCAAGAAAAGTGTTGATCGAAAGTGCATGAGGATACTTTAAAAAAAAAAAGAAATTCCACTCGATAATTCAAAATTAAAACCAATATGTTGCATAATTATCTAAGCTCTAATTCAAACCTATATCTTGGAGATGGAATATATATATATATATATAACCATGCATGCAATGCGTAAGGGAACCATGCATTCCCCCGAATATTCTACGTTTATAATATGTGTATATATACGGGTATATATAATAATATATATGTGGATGACATGAATGATCTCTGAAATAGGATAAAAGTTTTCTTATCATTTCCGTTTATGCACTTGGATTTCTCAATCTTTTTTTTGGAGGACACGAGGAAGAGGACCAAGAAAAGTTTAATTTTAATAACAAAATATATAAATATATATATATATATATATATATATATTATACACGTGCGTATGTATGTATTGAGGAAGAAGAAATCCAAAATAAATGGAAAAAAAAAAGTGGAGGGGCCAAGATTTATGGAAGGTGATGAAGCATGTTTGCAGGATATCAGACACATCCTCCTCCATTTTCTGACGTTTTTTTTTTCTTCTTCAAAATTCTGTAAATGCAACTAATTGATTATTTATAATATTTAGTGTATAAGTGTTATAATTTTAACCCAAATTTGGGTGGTCTAGTGGTGAAAGAACATGCAAAACATGTTTTCACCATGGGTTCAAATCTAAACGTGGGGAGGGACATTCACCTGGGCTTTCCCGGTCTTCTGTCTGTGAGATATAATCGGAATAAAAGTCCGGTGAACTTCCGAATTATAAAAAAAAAAGTGTTATAATTTTATATACACGTGGAAAAGGGTACTTTGACAAAGTTACGAAACATAAGATGGCGGATTACGTATATATGGACTGCTCTATCAGAATGATCGTCATGCTTACAAAAATAAATAATATAAAAAAAGAACATATTTATCCATAACAAAATTTTATTTCAGATTCCGATATTCGGACACTTTTCAATCCCTCTAATTTTAGAATGTGTTTTTATGTACAAGTGGTGGAAAATCACGCAACACGACTCGACTAAAGATTTCTCTGCCTTCTTCGTCATCTTCGCCAAGGAATTTAAACCCTAATACACAGTTACAGTCTAAAACAATATACAGCCATTTTCTTTTCTTTTATTTTTGTTCTTGATTTGATCTCGTCGCCAAAAAAAAAAACATGGGGAAAACTCTCTGTTTCTTGTAATAAACGACGATTCATTATAAGAAACCCGATAGATATATATTATGCACAGTGGATACTATCTGAACATGGAGGCGAGGGTACGGAAAACGATGTCTTCGCAAGGGATGGTGAGACCCATGTCGTGGTTGAAGCCGAACTCTTCTTCGGAGAGCCGGAGGAGCGGCTGGAACTCGGGAAGAGACAGCCACGCGATCGGGATTATGTGTCGGCTTCTGTTCTGCCCGAAGTATACGGCGAAATGCCCCCTCGGAACATCGTCCGGGAGGCTGTCCTTCTTTCCCAAACTCAGACACCTCTTCAGTATTCGTTTGAGACACTGCCCCTTGCTCGATTTCCTTATCGCCATGTGTATTTATTTTTCTTGAATTTCAGAGGGAGAGACAGAGAGAGAGAGAGAGAGAGAGAGAGAGAGAGAGAGAGAGGTGTGAAGGATGGGGAAAGGAATGCAATTGTGTATTTAAGGCCATAGTGAGAGAGAAAAATGACAACTGAAGTAGATGTTTTTTGTTTTGGATAATACTGAAGTTCACCATGATTTTGTTCCAACTATATTTTCAAAGTATCGGAAAGTCTGGATGAATATCTTTCTACGTTTAGATTTGAATCCAAGGTAAAAATATGATTTGGATATTTCTTTACCACTAGCCCACCCAAACTCGGGTAACGGTAAGAGATGTTGTTCATTATCAACTTTTTTTTTTATCCTTCATCGTAAAAAAATGATTAGTTCATACACGATTGTTCTCCATAACGAACATGAACACACTTACGCACACATATATAATATACACATATGATTCTATAACGTAAGCTCAAGTGTGATATATGTACAAAAAACGATGAAGATTCTTGAGGGGATATATGTAACATATGGTGCCGTTCAATGAAATCAAGAACGTGATATGTGCGCTAAACTCGAAAATATTACATGAAAGAAAAGCCGAATCTATATACGACTTTTCCTTAATTTGAAAGCATAATCACGTGGGATGTGGGGAGAAAAAGGCAATTAGGAAGATAACCAAAAGATGATGATAATAATAATAATAATAATAATAATAATAATAATAATAATAATAATAATAATAATAATAATAATAATAATAATAATAATAATAATAATAATAATAATAATAATAATAATAATAATAATAATAATAATAATAATAATAATAATAATAATAATAATAATAATAATAATAATAATAATAATAATAATAATAATAATAATAATAAAGGGTTCATAAGTGACGTAGGGACTCATAGTGTGTCCTACAATGTCTGCTTCATGCCTTGGACCAAAAAAACAAATGGTTAAAACTTTGTCTCTACATGAAAGTTCAAACTTTGGAAAACAAAATGTTCGGTCTCTTAATAATATCCAATGCCCGTTTTCGACACCCAAATTGGTTCAAAAATAAAATATCGCTAACATATTCATTATATAATTATTGATGTGTCCCTCTGCGTACATGCACACTGATTACGGACAAGTAGAGAGTCCTTCACGGTATACGTACTTGCAAAGCCACCCGACAAACTATATGTATATATATACACAACTATACATCAATCAATGATGATTACAACCATACGTGCTTGCACAACGAAGAGGCAAAGAAAATGTGATAGAAAATTCAATCGATATAGTAATTTTCCTTTTATTGATGAAACATAGATTAGGCTCGAGCTTTAAGCCTTCTGTTCTAGTTTTCGTGTGGGTATTATAAGGTTATAAACTTTAGCTTATGCTTTTTTTTTATTCCTTTCTTGTTTAACTCATAATTACATGGTCCAAAACATTGAATAGAAAAGACTAGTTACAAATCGCCATAGTTGAAATCCTAGTAGCTTGTGATCATGATGAAAATTTCAGTTATAACATATAGCCACTATTTCATCTTTCAAGACTAGAAAAAAAACTCCAAATACACTACATATCCACCCACGAAACACAAACTACTGGAGGGTTTATGAAATTTATAAAGTCGCAAACAACAGAAAATTTTATGTGAGAGGAATAAGAAAGACAAAAAAAAAAAACAAAGATGGTATTTGGCATTTATAAATCAAAATTCAATTATTATTCTTTTTGGTTAAAAGGAAGAGAGAAAAAAAAAACAGTGTGGAATAGGGTCGGATAAACAGTGAGAATTAGGTGGTCCGAACAAGACACTTTAGTTGGTTTTTCGGGTCGTGAGACTTTTTAGAATTAAAAATAAAATAAAATAAATACAAACATATTCTCTCGATAATTATGTTGTGTACAAAGTATGCGTACATGGTCGGTCGTGACTCGTGGGCACGTTTCTCAAAACACCCAATTACCAAATCGTGTGTGTGTGTGTCCTGCACTGAGTACGACCTATTCATATAATATAGTTTGGTAAGTATCACATGTTTCAGTACTATACTATATATATCACATAAATTAGAATGCATGCATACACTATATATACATATCCCCCCCCTCTTTTGATTATATAGAAAGATGAATCTCTTTCCAAATTAGTTGCATATTGCATCATAGTTCACTTTGTAAAACATTACTCTTTTTTTTGGGATCGAAAAAATACACTTGTATGGCTCGAAAGTCCAAACAGCTAAATACGATGTCATTCGCTTCCAAATTGTGAAAGGTGTCACGAAACTATTTTTTATTCAAAATCCATTCCAGATAATAATAAAAATAATAACAAAATATACATATGTCAAATTATAAATAGCAAGAATGGCCAAAATAAATGAGAGTATCCTAACCGAATGACATATAAACATAAGTGAATCAAATTCGATATAAAAACTAAGTACTTATGATTTCTCAAAAAAACCAAAGAAACAAATTCGAAACGAAAGCAACAACAGAGAATACCGAAAATTTCTTTATATGTAAATATTTTCGTCAATAAAAACCGAAATCAAACTAAACCCAAATTGAACGAATGGAAAAATCGAATGGTTATAGTTTTTCTAAAAGCGACCTAACCGAATCCGAATATAATAGAATCGAAATCCGAAATGATCACCCTAATAAACTGTGTATGTTTGCAGATCCCAAGAAAAAAGAAGATAAGGTCATTAAGTATTACAAAAGAACAACCAAGAGAGAGGCAGAGAGTAATGCATACCCAAAAGTATGTAGGATCCAAATGACTTGTTTCCATCCCATGTGGTATTTTGCAAGAATACCACCAACGTCCGTACAACTCAGCAACCCTGAACACACATAAGCAGAGACATATATTCCTCCAATGCCCCCTTTCAATTCAACCACCAGTTTTTTTTTTAATTTTTTTTTGGATAACGATATGGGAAATCATTTCCCATGTTCTATGGCCACAAACGCAGCTTCTAAAGCAGTATTGTTTCTGATATCGGTTTCTCTTTCAGTTCTAAGTCACATGTGCTCAGAGCAAAAACAAGTTTCCAGCAAACGTCGGTGTCAATTAAGGATTCTCTTTCGGGGCGAGGAGTATTTTAGCACATAGAAGCTAATAAAAAGGAGGGTCAAAGCTTTTTTGTGATTGCCTAAAATTGGTGAACACCCCATGTTCTATGAAGGAAAACGATTCAGAGGTGATTTACATATGGAGCAGAATGGTACCTGTCAATGTCGTATGCCTCTTGCTTGTTTCATCTCTACCTTCCCCCCGTTATATACAAAGAAAAACATGATTGGCACAAACACCAGAAAGTTGTTTTTTTAAAACAAAAGAGAAGATACCAAGAGCTGTCTTTCGGGATTCCACATCACACGACATAATGTATTCAAGTTGGACAACACATGCCTTACCATTGATCACATTTGGAGATGAGCTATAACTCTGATATTATGCACAATCCAATCTGCAAGTTTAAAATTGAGATTTGAAAAGAAAAAATGCAGACAACCATTTAACCAGGAGTTGAACACCTCCCACCATCAGTCGAAATGTGATCTGTGTATATAGAAACATACCAACAACAGCAGTTGAATTAAGAAAGCAAAATATAACTGCTGATACGCTATCACCAGAAAATCTAGACGTGCTTGGTCCACAGTCAAAATGATAGATCATGTCTGATAATGAATTCGATTCGATTTGCATATACCGTAATCAAGGGAATAAGATCAGATGAACTTCCATAATTATTTCTAGTAGATAACTGGAGCATGTACTCAGTATTCCTACAAATGTGGTGTATCATTTCTCTACTGCCAAATATCATATATACTTCGAGTGCATTAAGTTGAAAATTTAACGATGTTTTTGTTGAGGTAAGGTACCTGAAATGGACTGTAACCAGAGCAGCACAGCAGTCTACCCACTTGAACTCCTGCAGTCATACTGAAGTTTACCGAAATGAACATTCCCATTACATTGGTCACTTACACCCTGCAGCCAGTCGATGCTAGTTAAGGTTTGTTGTTCACAGGTGAATTCACATAGAATAATTTCTGAACTCATCCTTGATCTCTGGGTAGATCTTCAGATCCAGGAGTGATGTTATTAAACAAACCTGTGATGCTTACTCCTGAGTGAAACTTATAATGAAAGCTTACCTTCAATATTTGAAACAAATGAATTCTTACACGTTTTCTAACCGTACCACATTGTTTTCAAGTTCACATAACTCTTTTACATTCACCTACTTACACTGCGGGCTTTGCAAGACTGCAACCACGGAGAAGTCCAGGGATTAAATTATCAGTTTTTATCCGTCTCATTGTCATAAATTGACCATATTAGCTAAACTTGCCAAGAGGTCTGTCTGTTGTTCCATGATCATAAGCCTCCGTAACCAGAGGACAGCACGAGTCCTTGCGGTAGCACATCAACTATGCTCAACTGTCTTTTCAGCTTGGTGATGTGAGCTTGCACCTGTTAAATTTGAATAGATAGATGATGATTTTGCAGGAGTTTCTAAAGCTAAAACCGTAGAACCTATCATAGAAAATCAAGATGTTGTGAAACAAACAAGGCTCAATAAGAAAAAAAAAGGTACAAATCAGAAAACACCCATTCCAGGGAAGAGAAGCACAAGTCTTTTACCCTAACTATTAATTAGATTTGAGCAGGGGATATCCATATGGCCTCAACAAACGGGCAATGAACAGAATTTAGAACAAGTCATCATATCCTTTTCATTTTTATGCATTCGGTCAAGATTTTTAAACAGAACGATCGTAGGGTTTTCAACCAGTAAGGCCACAAAAACGAAATCCATGAAACAACGAAAACAACTAATAAGCTGAGGAATGGGAACCTGCTGACGAGCTGCTGCAAGCTTCAAAAGCTCGTCTGCTTCTGAAAAACTCATAAACCATTGGTTGAGTGGATGAGCTTTAGTGTCTCCCTTATCCCTCAGATTATAAATTTCGGTGACTGCTGCAAAATTCCCAGACAATTATGCTTCAGCAATAGCCATCATTTTGGTAAACATAAGAACGAGAAATGTACCTGAAGGTAGAATTAAGCCATCTGGAAGCTTGGAGACAAATACTGCTGGGTGATTATGTACATGAGTGAGGAAATCCTCGAAAGGATTAGGGAAGACAATTTCGTTATAAGATTCAACAACAACAGGTCTCTTGGTAGACTGAGGACCAGATTCATACTCTGCGTACAGTTTCAAGTTATGCAACCTGAAAAGAAAGTTCACTACAACCTCAGAGATTAAGCATAGCCAAATTTACCAGTATGAAACTACGAATGATATGAGCAACTCACAAATTCAACTGCTTCTCGCAGGCATTGTCATGGAAGAAGAGGGTGATACCAATTTCGAATTCTCCCCAGCCACACTCAGACAATTCAAAAGGAGGCGATTCAACCACTCTAGTAGGGTTGTTAAAACTGGGGTGCAATTGAAAGATGACTCGCTTGATCACCACGCCAAGATTCTCATTTGTAGCTCCACGTACATAGACCGTCCACTTATGAGACTGAGTCCTAATTGACGAAAATGAAAAAAAATATCAAAATCTCACGTATTGCAGCATTATCGGAACTCAGTATCTCCAGAATAGAAACAAAGAAAAGATATGACACACTCACTCGGTAGCTTTCCGCCCGAGATGAAAGGCAATGGAACCGCATACTATCGGAACACAAATTTCAACATCTCTAACTCTTCTCTTCCCTGTCTACAACCAGAGAACTTCTAAACGACTACGTACTATAAATCCAACTCAAACCAAACAGTACATATCTTGACAAAGAACTTCAGAAGTTCTCCTTCACGACAAAACACACTCTACGCATTACATTGTAAAATCAACTTATAATGGGAGGCATCATAACAACGATTCCGGCACCATAGTTTCCCGTAACAGGAACAAAAACAACCAAAACACAGAAAAGCAGCTGAATCGGACACCGAGACAACATCAACAGACGAATTCTAGTTTTTTTGTCAACAGACAAAGTACCTTGTCTTCGATGTCGTCATTGGTTCGGCCGATCTCGACCATACTCTGTAGCTTCTGCGTAGACATAGCAGCATCAGATCGGGTCTCAGATTCCATCATCGGAGATTATATACTCTCCAAATGAATCGAAGGGACCTCGAAGTCTAACCAGAAATCGCGCCTAACGAAGTTTCGCCGATCGATTTCTCGGCAGCGAGGGAAACATTTGAGGTTTACGGAGGGCTAACAGAGCGTCCGTCCATATGCATATGTTACACGTGTACAAGATCTTTTGGCTTATCCTTTCTGCCACGTCATTTGCCACGTCGACAAATCAACACTCCTCCCGGTCTAAGCCCAAACTTCATGCTGTATATGTAGCATAGACACCTGAACAGCGTGCCGTTTCAAATTTGGAAATACCACTGTGCCGAGCCGAGCATGCAGCATAGACGCCTGAACAGCGTGCCGTTTCAACTTTGGAAACAACAATGTTGTAGATCAGATCCCCCTGCAACAAGTGCAAACAGCCGTCTCCTCATGGACACTCACTAATTCTCAATTGTATTCAGAAGCTTAAGGAGTCGGGAAAATTTCTGGGTTTTAGTGTTTTTCTGCGTATTTCAAAGTTTGTTCCCGAGTTCGAAGCAACCTCGGATGACAGAAATGAACTGTGTCCCATCGTTTTCGCCATGTTTGTCGGATGATCCAATCCATTTCTTGAGCTGTTTTTTTTTTCAGTTTTCTGTTGATTCCAAGGGAAAGTTTTGCCTTTCATTCTAATGAGCCACTTCTCATTAGATTGAATTTAGGTTGAGCTTTTGTGTCTTCGTGTTGGGCACTTGTGTGTGCGTGGCAATAGATTGCATTAATAACAATTATACAAGAGAGAAGTGTGCAAAAAGTGCAGGCAATGATGTTTTTGTTTATGCAAGTGTCCTAAACAATTCCATCCCATGTTCTTCCATTGAAATCTCACAAATCTGGTTTCCGATTTCGACTTGGGCAATGATGTTTTCACTACCCCACAACTCACTATCACTTTTAAAATGTTTTCATGGAACTCAAACACAGAGTTGCAGACAGACAGGTTTTTGAAAGTCCAAACAGACAGGTTGCTGCTAACCCTTGAGCATGTTGGTCGGAGCGAGAGGAGGCGTGTCGAGCTGATAAAGATTCAAGGACGGCCCGACAAACCGGAAAAGAACCCATCCTCCGATTACTATGAAGATCGATGCGTAAGCAAATTTGTTAAGCCAAAACAGCAAACCCTTCTCTCCCACGTAAACCTCCATCGCCTTCTCCATCACTGTCATCTCCTCCCATGTCTTCTTAACTTCACTCTCCGAAGACGAAGCCGTTTCCGTCTTCCTTACCCCTTCTTCCCTCATTCTCCTCCTCGACCCGCGTCTGAACCTTATCTCCTTACCTTCCAACGGCTGATCTGGCCGAGCCACCACCTTCGGTTCACCATTGTCTCCGTTACTGCTACTGTTACCGTTATCGTTGCTGTCTCTTGAGCAACTTATCGTTAGAGATCGTTTGTTCGGGCGATATGCGATCTGGGTTTGTGTTGTTGTCGATAAAGATTGTGGCTTGAGATCGGTAATGGCGGGTTTTGGTGAATTTGGAGCCAAGAAGTGAAGAACTTTCATTTTTGTCTGTAGAATTGTAGAATTTAGATTGGCTTTTCCAGAGAGCACTAATAAGAAAGATAAGCTTTTATCCCTTTTCGAGCGTGATCTTGTTGGCCACTCGTTTTTCGCCACGTGTCTTGCGGAAATATAAAGCGCTACCAAGTGTATATGGGCTCAGGCCCGAATGGCATCGGAGCCCAGTCGGCGATGGAATTTTTTGATGTACCGAAACTACCCTTATTATTTTTCTTAAATAACGAGCGTGCCCTAAAACTGAGTATTTACCAAATTGGATTCCGATGGCGTAGACCACGGAACCATAGAAGCAGATTTTTGTCCGTACACTGAATCCGTACCCGAACCTGAGATCAACTCGGCGCCCAAGATCGAGCCTCCATGGACGAAGATCCTTTTCTCCGGCAGTACCAGCCGTCGGAACTCAAGATCGCGTCGGAATTTCTGACGACCTGGCTTCCTTTCCTTTCTAGAGATCTCTGCAAGGACTGCGTGCACGTTCTCTCCAATCGGATCCGCTCTCTAGACCCAGGTAACGAGACTTTCTTGATTCGATCGAGGACGGAAAAATTTTCGGTGTGGCGTTGTTTATCTGGTTCTGCTTTTGTTCACGAATCTCTTGGGTGGTTTGTTTGGTCAAGGTTCTCGTCTTTGATTCGGTTATTATCCTCTATGCTCTGTCTAATCTCACTAGATCAGGAGGGACGGTAATTGTACTGAATTCCCATCTACTTGATACTGTTGTGATGAATAAGACGCTTGATAATTTAGTGTTTAACTAAATTTCCATGCAATCAGTGTGTTCCTTGAGTTGATAAATAGATTCTCTCCTTTAGATTGTCAAAGTTTTAGAATTTTACCTGTTTATAAGTGATGATGTTTTCTGCTGTAGAACTTTTTTGTAACATGGAACCAATAGATTTAGGGGAGAGGGAAGCAATTTCACCTTCTAAGTGTAATAATGTGGAATTAGGAGGAACCAATACCAATGTGGATGATGGGAAGTCGGCTGGAAGTTCGGAAAACGGTGGAGATTTGGATACTCATTCGTTAGGAAGTTGGAAGGATGGTGGAAGCAATATTTCAGAATCTGTGGCAGAAACTTCATCAAGTGCATTGATCTCCCAATCACCTGTTGCTGAAACAGCAAGTCCTAGAATGTCTTGGGCTGACATGTCGCAGGAGGATGAGCTTGAAGAAGAGGAGGAACAAAGGGAAGGAGGAGAATCGGGTGGACAGGCTGCCGATGCAAGTCTGTCTCCAGGGGACTTGCCTGTGACAAAGACTCCTGAGAAGCCCAAGTTGTCTAGGGAACAGAGAGAAAATATACGGCTCACGAATGTGAAGAGAAAGAAAGATTTCATATGTTTAGAAAGAGTTAGAGGGAGGATCGTTAACATCGTTGATGGGCTTGAACTGCATACCGGTGTTTTCAGCGCAGTGGAGCAGAAAAGGATTGTTGATTTTGTGTATGAACTGCAAGAGAAGGGACGGAAAGGAGAATTGAAAGGTTAGTTTCTTGTGTTTTCCATTGTTAGTGTATATGTGCATGTGCATATGTTCAACCCAGCATGTATATTCTGACTCGATATCTTCAACATGTCAATTTGATAAAATTTACTTCAGTTGTCCTGATATGAATCATTATATTATCGTTCCTCAGAGCGTACGTATTCTGCTCCACAGAAGTGGATGAGGGGCAAAGGACGTGTGACACTTCAATTCGGTTGTTGTTACAACTATGCAACAGTAAGTTTCTGGGTCTTGTAGGTTTATATGCTCTGTCAAATACCAAGTCTTGTTGTGCACTAACTAAACAAATAAGGAATCATGTATTATGTTGACAGGACAAAGCTGGAAACCCACCTGGGATCCTCCAACATGAAATGGTGGATCCAATTCCTCATCTTTTCAAGGTGATGATTAGAAGGTTGGTTCAATGGCACGTGCTCCCTCCAACTTGTGTGCCGGATAGTTGTATCGTCAACATATACGAAGAAAGTGACTGTATACCGCCTCATATTGACAACCATGACTTTGTCCGACCATTCTGCACCGTTTCATTCCTCAGTGAGTGCAATATACTATTTGGGTCAAACCTAAAGGTTGAGGGCCCTGGTGAATTCTCAGGTTCATTTGCAATACCACTTCCCGTCGGGTAAGTTAGTTGCCTTCCTCCGGAATCATGTTTCAATTTCTTTCGCCTTTCATATATCCTTGTGTTTAGATTCTGCTGTATCTTTCATTCTCGAAACAGTATATGTAAAGGCAGCGACTTTTTCCCCATTTCAGATCAGTTCTCGTTTTGAGCGGTAATGGCGCTGATGTGGCTAAGCATTGTGTACCCGCAGTTCCCACAAATAGGTGATTCCGATTTCTAACTTCCCGGTTCTCTTCCCATCTGTTATTCTTTTTATCAACATCATCATCCGCTCATACGGGTTTTTCTCCATCTTAACCAGGATATCAATCACATTCAGGAGAATGGATGAATCAAAACGGCCGGCCGGGTTCGTCCCTGAACCGGATTTGCAGGGGATTCAACCACTGCCCTATGAACCAAACGCAACGAGTAGCTTAAACTCATCGAGATTCAGCCACAACGGTTACAACAGAGAAGCGGGTTTGCGGAGAGAAGAAAAGCCAGTGGCGAGGGATTACCATCCCGAGAGAGGCAATCCATCTTATGAATCTCGAGAGTGGTCTACTCAGAGAAGAAGAAGGCCTGGACCTCAAAACCATGGGAGGAACAAGGTGAAGAATACACAATCCTAAATCTTTTTTTTTTTTAACACAACCAAACTAAAGTTCGTTTCTCTTGTCCTCATCATTGGAGTCTCATCCGCATTGAACTGCCGCTTCTTGTTTTTTTTTTTTTACTGATGGTATATTCTTTTTTTCCCTCATTTTTTTTTACCATTGAGTCATTTCTTATTGTGTAAAATAATTTATGTTTTTTCATAGTTTGATACGAGTTTCTTAAAACATGTACTGGATTTGGAGCTCTACCATGTGATGTTGTTGTTCATGGAGAAAATAATGTTCTCTCCCTTTTTTTTTGTACGTTAAATCTTTAAATGTTGTTTTATGAAAGTAGTTGTATACATATTTCTATCGGTAACATTCGGAAAACATTACGGTCAGAACAATAAAACCGGTCAAAGTAATGGTCACGCATGCTCCCATATAATTTAATTTAAAACATTTCTTTCACTTTTTATAAATCTGAAGAAATGCATGTTATTATTTTTCTTTTAAAAAAATATATTATGATTTTGATTTTTTTTTTTGTTTATATGATATACGGTTTTAGGATTACAAAATAATTTACTTAGATTTTGTACAATTTCTAATATTTTGATCTTAATATGAACCAACCAGATAAATGTTAGTAATATTTACATTTATACACGTGGAGGTGATTAATAATGGAATGATTGAAATGATGTGAACCGAATGATATATAGGTATAACTTAATCAAATTCAATATAACAACTAAATGTTATGATTTTTTTTAAATTGAAGAAATCGAATCCAATCAAAATAAATCGATTAAAAAATAACTTAAATAACCGATTTTGTTTTTGAAAAATTATTATGTTTTATAAATAAAACTTGAAACCTAATAAAAAAAAACTAAACGGAGTAAAATGGAATCAACCAAACCAAACCCGAACTCAAGGTTGGGCCAAAAATTTACATTAAATCCTAAATAATAATGGGCTTACTCAGTGTGGTAGTGGGCCTTATTGCAGCATTTGTTGGCCCAACAAAATCTTATATAAAGTAATAAAGACAGAAAAAGAGCGCATAAAAACAGAGCTCGACAGCCACCTGGCACCGACCGGACCGACGCTCGAGTTTTTCAAAGACTCTCTCCGGAGGGAGTCGCTGATAGAAACAAAATGCGAGGGAAAATTGCGCCTGAAGAATCTTCGTAATCCTCTTCTCCGTCGTCGATTCCGGACGGAGAGCTGTCGGAATCTCCTGAATTTGTATCTTAAGTTTAGTAGCAGAGGAGGAAACCCTATTAAACTCCGGAAACTTTGACCTAGCTTTACCCGTCGGCGAGTCGTGATACATCGTCGTTGATCGGCCTGGGAGAAGAAAGAGGTGGAGGGGCTCCTGGCGGCGGAACCCTAGAGGAGCGTTTCGCTTGTCGAGTTAAGCTTCGTTTCGCCATGAGTCCCATTCAGAATTTCGAGCAACACTCCCGTCGTCTGGTGGAGCCTGACCTCCGTACTCTCTCTCTATCCCCATTTCTTATTTTCTATTTTGTTAGTACTGTAATTGGGCTGTTTGTTTGCTGAGAAAATGTGGAGAAGGTATAGAAAGTGGGTTCCTTTGATTGGTGGACTCGAGTGAGATTTCTGGGTTCTTGTCATGTTAGTGTCAATTCACTTCTCCTTCAAGTGACCGGTTTCTGCAAGAGAATAACTGTTCGGATTCTCGTATGAATTTGCTGAGTCTGAGTTGATTTCTTGTTTTAAAGCGACGAAAAGCTATTTTTTCTTATTCTTTTCCCAAAGGAAATTATAGTTACACTTCGACTGGAAACTTGATTTTTTTTTTGTTTCTTATGGTTTTCGGTAGCTATTCAGACGAGGCTTGAAATGGTGGTGGAGGTCAGGGACAGTCTTGAGATAGCTCATACGGCTGAGTACTTGAATTTCCTGAAATGTTACTTCCGGGCATTCTCGGTGATTCTTCTACAGATTACAAAGCCGCAATTCTCTGATAATCCTGAGCACAAATTACGGAACATTGTGGTTGAGATCCTCAATCGTCTCCCTCACAGCGAGGTTCTCCGTCCTTTTGTTCAGGACCTCTTGAAGGTTGCAATGCAGGTTCTTGCAACGGATAATGAAGAAAATGGCTTGATTTGCATCCGCATTATCTTTGACCTTCTTAGGAATTTTAGGCCGGCTCTAGAGAATGAGGTTCAACCATTCTTAGATTTTGTTTGCAAGGTATACCAGAACTTCAGATTTACCGTCAGTCACTTCTTTGAAAATGTTGCAATGGAGGAGGTGAAGCCCATGGAAACATCTACAACTTCTGATCAGTCCCTTACTCCTCCTGGGCCCGTTGGGAATGGGCAGCTTAGCCCAAGTACTCGTTCATTTAAGATAGTTACAGAGAGCCCTCTCGTAGTTATGTTTCTTTTCCAGCTGTACAGCCGACTTGTTCAGACCAACATCCCTAATTTGCTGCCCCTAATGGTTGCTGCCATATCTGTCCCTGGACCTGATAAAGTTCCTCCGCATCTGAAGCCACACTTCATTGAGTTGAAGGGTGCACAGGTTAAGGTGAGGCAATTTTTCCATGAAGCAAACATGATCTCTTCTTTACTTCATATGTTGAACAGTTCATCTCATTGAGGTCTACCATATTGCTCTGAATCTAATCCATATTGTTTTTACGAATGTCATGACTTTGTATTTTTAACATTTTGCAGTTATTCTGTTTCTTTTGCAGACAGTTTCTTTCTTAACTTATTTGTTAAAGAGTTGTGCCGAATATATCAGGCCACATGAAGAAAGCATATGTAAAAGCATTGTAAATTTGCTTGTGACCTGTTCAGACTCTGCATCGATCAGAAAGGTAAAAAAAATGTTTTGTTTTTTTCTTGGGTAAGTTTTGTCCTGGTGACATAAATTCATGGTTCTGAGGTTAAAAGTATCACTTGCATTTTGTGAGATGCAGGAACTCTTGGTCTCATTAAAGCATGTACTTGGGACGGACTTCAAGAGAGGTTTATTTCCTCTCATTGACATTCTTTTGGAAGAGAGGTAATATGAACATTGATCCCTTCTGAAGTTGTAAAAATCTTCACACTTCTTAGGAAGCTGTTTCATCAAGAATACATATTGTCTGTTCTCTGCATTCCTCAAGCTGTAGCATCTCTTTGTCAAGTGAAAAAACAACCATGCACACCTTTGTTCTTCACCTTGATTACCCGTTTGCATGCTCTTCCCTGCAAAGAGAGTTTTTTTTTTATTGTAGATTTGAGTTGTATAGCAATATTCTACTTTACGAGCTTATCCAAACTTTTTCTTCATGTCAGGGTTCTAGTTGGAACTGGCCGGGCATGCTTCGAGTCTCTGAGACCTTTGGCTTATAGCCTACTCGCTGAGATTGTTCACCACGTTCGAGGAGATCTGTCCCTTTCCCAGGTCTCCCTGTTGTTTTCTCTGCAAAATCTTTTTCATTTTATGACTGGTTTTCTTGTTAGTAGCCATTTCTTTCATGTTTGGTGTATTCTTCTAGATAATTGTATTTTGATATTGTAGTTTTATGGACCTTTAGACTTTGACTCATAGTAGTGATACTTCTGTCTTCTGGTATGCAGTTATTGTTATACATCTGTGGTTTTCGAGTTTGGTGAATTGTAGAATGTGAAATATTAAACAACGGGCTATATCTTTTTCAATTGATGAGGTTAGTTGTTTTACTTTGAATGATGTTGCAGTTATCGCGGATTATCTACTTATTCTCAAGAAATATGCATGACTCTACGCTCTCTCTTAATATCCATACGACATGTGCTCGGCTGATGTTAAATCTGGTGATGCAATTTTCTCTCTGCAGTCTGGCTGATATGAATTTGATATATGACTTAAAAATGCGTAATAGCATGTTCAGTGTTTTAATATTGCAGCCATGTTAATACTTCTGTTGGATTCAGGTAGAGCCGATATTTGAGAAAGGTGTTGATCAACAGTCAATGGATGAGACACGTATTTTGTTGGTACAAATTTACCCCAGAGAGCTCATTTGATATTCTGTTGGCCTTTCGACCATTGTCTTATTTGCTCAAAACCTGTCTACAGGGGCGTATCCTGGATGCCTTTGTTGGGAAATTCAGTACCTTCAAGCGTACTATTCCTCAGGTAATGCTAATGCTTTCTTGACGCTTTCATGGTGAATGGATATTTAGCTTTTTCTGGCTTTGTTCTCTACTGTATATTGATGTTTATTATATTTATCAAGCTTATTTGAGTGCCATGACTTTGTCTTTTTCTTTTTCAAGTTTTTTGTTAGTGTCGTGCTCTTTTGCATATGCTTTACTAATTTCATTCTATGAATGAGGTCGGAAAAATGTGTACTGCTGGATACATTATCTTTTTGAGTTCGTCTTCAGGGTTAGTTTGTGAGATTCTTCTTCTTTTTTGTGATGCTCTTTTATCAAGTCTATTTATTTTGAAAGTAGCCGACTCTAAATTGATCTATGAAAAAGAGGGTAACCTTTTCTTGCTTGATATGTCATTTAGGCTTTTTTACTGATGTTATATTTGTGATGCCCTATAATATGAGTCGGAACCTTAGTTAGTTTCCTATTTTTACTTTGGCAGTTCTTTTTATCTGCTGTGAATTTCATTGAATGCTTTCATAATCTTGATTGGCTTTTGTAGCTTTTAGAGGAGGGTGAGGTGGGAAAGGATCGGGTCACTTTGAGGTCAAAGCTTGAGCTTCCTGTGCAGGTAATTCAATTTTCCTTTTATCTAGGCCTACTGTTTTGTTTCAGTGAGTAGCCTCATTTACGACCCATTCTGATGTCTTGTTCCGCATGAAATTGAATAATTTCAATTTGTTGTATAATTTTCTCCTTTTCCTTTATGTAGATTATCCTATTCCTTTATATTGTGCTGTAAGTGGTAATATAATTACCTGGACACTTTTTAGCAGATAGACCTGACATTTTCGGTTTCTGCTCATCTTTTGCGCTGCTATAAAATAAATGCTAACCTTATTATCTTTTTACTGAATCACGGGTTTCTACAGATAATTTCTGACTTTTGCTTTGGATCAATGAATGAAATATCTGGCTGCTTTTCTTGATTGTTAGATGTGCTGGATGCAGGCAGTTTTAAATTTGCAGGTTCCTGTTGAACATTCCAAAGAAGTGAATGATTGTAAGAATCTGATCAAGACACTGGTCATGGGTATTGAATCTTGGTCAAACTATCTTTGTACCATGTTGGTCTGCTCTTAAAGATAATCCTGTTCCTATACCTAGACCGATCTTTTTTTTCCTGACATGTGTTCAGGAATGAAGACAATTATATGGAGCATTACCCATGCAAATATGCCTCGGCCTCAGGTTTCATTGAAGTTTGTGTTCAGTTATTTCTTGTATATTATTATATTGTTGGTTTTTGTAACTGTAATAATTGTGAAGGTTTCTCCTGCTGCCCATGGGATGCATCCACAGGCTCTTGCTTCACAATCATCAACCCCTCAGGTTTTTAAAGGGCTGAGAGAAGATGAGGTACCACATCTTCAATTTTTTACTCTAGTTATTTATCTCGCATGGCTGATATGCGAAAGTAAGTAATCTCCAAACCTTCGAGCAGGTTTGGAAAGCATCTGGTGTTCTGAAGAGTGGTGTCCACTGCTTAGCTCTCTTCAAAGAGAAGGATGAGGAGAAGGAAATGCTCCACCTTTTCTCCCAAATTTTTGCTATTATGGAACCTCGAGATCTGATGGATATGTTCTCTTTGTGTATGCCTGAGCTCTTTGAGTGCATGATTGACAATACTCAATTGGTTCAGATATTTTCCACCCTTCTGGTAGCCCCCAAAGTATGCAAGCCACTTGCCGATGTTTTGATTAATTTTCTCGTAAGCAACAAACTTGATGTTTTGAGGAATCCAGATTCAGCTGCTACTAAACTAGTTTTGCATCTGTTCCGATGCACCTTTGGCGCTGTTGCTAAAGCCCCTTCTGATTTTGAGCGGATATTGCAACCTCATGTCCCTGTTATTATGGAGGTCTGCATGAAGAATTCCACGGAAATTGAAAAACCTCTGGGTTATATGCAACTGCTCCGCACGGTATTTAGAGCACTTGCTGGATGTAAATTTGAGCTGCTTCTGAGAGATTTGATCCCTGTGCTGCTACCTTGTCTTAATTTGCTCTTGCTGATGCTTGAGGGTCCAGCTGGGGAAGACATGAGAGACCTTTTGTTGGAGCTTTGTTTGACACTTCCTGCACGCTTAAGCTCCTTACTGCCATACCTTCCCCGTCTCATGAAGCCTCTTGTGTCCTGTTTGCGAGGAAGTGATGAACTTGTGAGCTTGGGGTTACGCACCCTTGAGTTTTGGGTTGATAGTCTGAATCCTGATTTCTTAGAACCGAGTATGGCGAATGTGATGTCTGAAGTGATCTTAGCATTATGGTCTCACTTGAAGCCTGTACCTTATCCTTGGGGTGGAAAGGCTTTACAAATCCTCGGAAAGTTGGGTGGTCGCAACAGGCGGTTTCTGAAAGAACCACTTACACTTGAATGCAAGGAGAATCCAGAGCATGGGCTCCGTTTAGTTCTGACATTTGAGCCATCCACTCCATTTCTGGTGCCGCTAGACAAATTCATTAATCTTGCTGTAGCAGCAGTTATTGAGAAAAACCTTGGCATGGACATCTACTACAGAAAGCAAGCTCTAAAATTTCTCTGTGTTTGCTTGTTGTCTCAGCTTAATTTGCCTTGTTGTGTCACTGATGAGGGTCAAACGCCCAGACAGTTGTCTACTTTGCTGCTTTCCTCTGTTGACTCGTCCTGGCGCAGATCTGAGCCAACAGAGATGAAGGTTAGTTATTATAAATAATACTCTTATGCTCTTGGAGTCTTGGTTATTTATTGTTGGATATAGACTTAGGTGAATATAAAATTTATAGGCCAGATGGCAGAGTTTATTTGCTTTCTGCTTCAACTCTGGCACACTCTAACTGTAGTAATTTCAGTTATCTCATTTAATTGCTTCAGCACTCACCAACTATCATCCTAAATGTACTTAATGCCGAAGATAAACGATATTAAGTCAAGGTTTCTTATTATTAACCACAAATCAATTCAAGGTTTTGTTATCTTGATGCCATATGCATTTATCTTTTTTTTTTCGTTTTCCAATTGCTTTTGTTTTTTGACATGTGCTTTCTTCTGATTGACCTTTTCCTTCTCAGATATTTGAACCACTCAGTTCAATAGGTTTAATAAGAATTTGTATTGTTAAGGGGGTTTGTTTACTGTTGCAGGCTGACTTAGGAGTAAAAACGAAGACCCAATTAATGGCTGAGAGATCCATTTTCAAGACACTATTGATCACTGTAATTGCTGCCAGTTCTGATCCGGATCTCAGCGATTCAAATGATGACTTTGTTGTAAACATTTGCAGGCATTTCGCCATTATTTTACATGTTGACTACACCTCAAACACTACAAGTATAGGTCCACTTGGGGGTTCTGTAATTTCTGCGAGTTCCAGGTCAAAGAGTAATCGGACTTCTAACTTAAAGCAGCTGGATTCTCTGATTTTTTTGGATGCGCTGGTTGATGTGCTTGCAGATGAAAACAGGCTCCATGCAAGAGCTGCTCTGAATGCGTTAAATGTGTTTGCTGAAACTCTACTGTTCCTTGCTCGTGTTAAGCATGCCGATGCATTGATGTCGAGAGGTGGTCATAATGCTTCTATGATTGTCTCCAGTCCTTCTACAAATCCTGTATACTCACCCCATCCAAGTGTGCGTATACCAGTATTTGAGCAGCTTTTGCCTCGGCTTCTGCATTGCTGTTACGGGAGTACATGGCAAGCACAGATGGGAGGGATTATGGGATTAGGTGCCTTGGTTGGGAAAGTGAATGTGGAAACATTATGTCTTTTCCAAGTAAAAATTGTTCGTGGTCTGGTCTATGTTTTAAAGAGACTTCCTGTTCATGCTAGCAAAGAGCAAGACGAGACAACTCAGGTTCTTATGCAGATTCTGCGAGTTGTTAACAATGTTGATGAAGCAAACAGTGAATCACGTAGACAAAGCTTTCAAGGTGTAGTAGAATATCTTGCTACCGAGTTGTTCAATCCTAATGCATCTATCACAGTGAGAAGAAATGTGCAGAACTGTCTTGCACTTTTGGCTAGCCGAACTGGTAGTGAGGTATCTGAGTTGCTTGAACCTTTATACCAACCTTTACTGCAACCACTTGTAATGCGTCCACTTCGATCAAAGACGATTGATCAACAGGTACTTCTTTCTGCTAGGTTGTCTTCAGTGTACTTATTTTCCCAGGGATCTCTTGTTTACATTATTGAATACTTTACAGGTTGGAACAGTCACAGCCCTAAACTTTTGTTTAGCTCTGCGGCCCCCACTTCTAAAATTGAGTCCTGAGTTAATTAACTTCTTGCAAGAGGCATTACAAATAGCCGAGGCTGATGAAACTGTTTGGGCTGTGAAGTTGATGAATCCCAAGGTGCTTACATCATTGAACAGACTTCGGACAGCTTGTATCGAGCTTCTGTGCACAACTATGGCATGGGCAGACTTTAGAACTCCGAGCCACTCGGAACTGCGTGCTAAGATAATTTCCATGTTTTTCAAGTCTCTAACATGCCGAGCACCTGAAATTGTGGCTGTTGCTAAGGAGGGTTTACGACAGGTTCCTACTTGTGTCTTTGTTTTCTATTCTCTCGTTTGCACATATAATGTTCAGGATTTTAGGATAGTTATGTGAAAGGATTAGACCTTTCAGATGGCCCTGTGTATTTTCTTTCTGATGTAATAGATATATGTAAACTCATTCTGTTTAGTTAGTTGGTACGATGATTACCTTATTTAATCTCTGAGGAAGTTGCTTTGTAATTATCAGATAGACTTTTGGTGTTCGTCTTTGATTTATATCTTCCCTCGTTCTTTGTCTGGAATCAAAAAACATAATCCCTTTTTTTGTGGATTTTTTGTTTTGTTTTGGTTAGGTTATTAATCAACAGCGGATGCCAAAGGAACTTCTTCAGAGTAGCCTGAGACCTATATTAGTTAATTTGGCGCACACAAAGAATCTCAGTATGCCTTTACTGCAAGGTCTGGCCCGCCTTCTTGAACTTCTGTCCAATTGGTTTAATGTCACATTAGGAGGCAAATTGCTGGAGCACCTTAAAAAGTGGTTGGAGCCGGAGAAACTTGCCCAGTCCCAGAAATCTTGGAAAGCTGGTGAAGAGCCAAAAATAGCTGCTGGTAATCATGTTCATGAGACTTATATCAAACAGATGCCTGTTCATTTAGTTGTACTTGTGAACATATTCTTATATTTGTTATGTGGCAGCTATTATCGAACTCTTCCACTTGCTTCCGCAAGCTGCATCAAAATTTCTTGATGAACTTGTGACGTTAACTATCAACTTAGAAGCGGCTCTTCCTCCAGGGCAAGTGTACAGCGAGATTAATAGCCCATACCTTCTTCCGCTTACCAAGTTTTTAAATCGATATGCAACCCTCGCTGTTGATTATTTTCTGGCCAGATTAAGTGAACCAAAATACTTCCGAAGGTAAGAAATATCATTTTATGTTAAGCTGTGCACCCTCACCAAAAATAAAAAACAAGGTCATAATGTCTACTTCCTTCTTTTTTAAAAACCAGGTTTATACGTATAATCCGATCAGATGCTGGCCAGCCATTAAGGGAAGAGCTTGCAAAGTCTCCCGAGAAGATACTTTCAAGTGCTTTTCTTGAATTTTTGCCAAAGTCTAATGCTACAATGAGCACAATAGCTTCAACTCCACCAGCTACATCATCTGGGGATGAAAACCTTGTTTCTGCTCAATCAGATAACTCTAACACGCCATCGGCAAAAGCAACTGTGACATCTGGTTCTTATTTCCAGGGGCTTGACCTCATCAAAACAATGGTGAAATTGATACCTGGCTGGCTGCAGAGTAACAGAATTGTATTTGATTCCTTAGTTCTCATCTGGAAATCTCCTGCTAGGGTATCCCGTCTGCAGAATGAACAAGAGTTGAATTTGGTTCAGGTAATTTCCATTGTTTGCAGAATGAATCTTGTTCATGTTGATATTCCGTCATTTCTTGTGCTACCTTGAAAGTCTAGGATGGAAGACTGAAAGTATCACGGGACTAGGGCATGAATGGTTTGTTATGAATCTGTAGATATATATAGCTCTAGCTCTTTGCTACTGCTACATTATAGTTTACTAAGATATATAATTATTTTTTTTTGCAACTTTTCTTGACAGGTTTTCTGATGTATCCCTGAATTCATTTTGTTTATTTGACTTTGGGTTCTTGTTTGACTCGTTTTGTTGAACCCTTTGGGCATTGTTTCCATGCTATCCTTCTTTTTGGTGTACTCAAGTTCCCAGTTATTTAGGATAAAAAATCCCTGAGATTCCCATGTGAAATTTGCTGTGAGCACGGCTTGAGATTGAAGCTCTGAATATTATTCATTTCGAGACTGTAACATATCTCTGACAAGTTGGCCATCTAAACTTGCAGGTAAAAGAGAGTAAATGGCTTGTGAAGTGCTTCCTGAATTACCTGCAACATGACAGATGTGAAATTAATGTCCTCTTTGATATTCTCTCCATCTTCTTGTTCCACAGCCGCATTGATTACACCTTTCTTAAGGAGTTCTACATAGTCGAGGTATGTGTGATTTTAATTTTATACTTCCAGTTTCTTCTTTTATCTTCTCACAGTTTGGAGCTCTAACAGAATAATGATCGCATTATCAGGTTGCAGAAGGATATCCACCCAGCATGAAAAAAGCTCTTCTTTTGCATTTTCTAAACCTTTTCCAATCAAAACAACTTGGTCATGATCATCTAGTTGTGGCAATGCAAATGCTTATTCTTCCAATGCTTGCCCATGCGTTCCAGAATGCCCAAACTTGGGAGGTTATTGACCCTAATATTATTAAGACAATTGTGGAGGGGCTTCTTGATCCGCCTGAAGAGGTAGTTATCTTGTACCCTATAAACAGTCTAATCCTTTTGGAAAACAAAGAAACAAATTTGACAGAGACTGATGTATATTTTTTCAAGGTGGGGATGATGGTATCATGTATAGGCTGAATGACTTTTACATAGTCTCTGGTTCCCTTGTTCTACTTCTTCGCTATATTTGAAGTTCCCTTTTTCTACTTTTGCCTTTAATATTTTCGTTATCGCTATATTTGAAAGTTATATAAACTACTTTTGCCTTTAATATTTTCGTTACTTTTGCAGGTTTCCGCTGAATATGATGAACCTTTGAGGATCGAACTTTTACAGTTAGCTACTCTGCTTCTAAAATATCTTCAGAGTGACCTGGTTCATCATAGGAAAGAGCTCATAAAGTTTGGATGGAATCATCTTAAACGGGAAGACAGTGCCAGTAAGCAGTGGGCATTTGTCAATGTTTGCCACTTCTTGGATGCTTATCAGGCTCCAGAGAAAATAATTCTCCAGGTACTATTTTTAAATCATGTAAGATAGTATCAGTCCATATTTTACATCAGTGTATCGCTTTAAAATATTGATTTTTTAAGAATGTGTTTTTTTTACTTATGCTGTAAAAATTTCTGCTGCAGCTGTTGTTTGAACACTGCAATTGTTTCTATGAATCTTTTACGTCATTATGCCGTAAAAAGACGTTGCAAATTATGTTCTGGCTGTTGCAAATAAGTTAGTTTGTCGATTGTTAGCCTTAGCTTCCTAATGGGAGCTCATTTGCATGTACTTTAGTGAGCAATCATATGATATCTATGATGAGGATTGGAGGATTTTATTCTGGTTTCAATATCTTTACATCCTAATTTAAGGAGGGTTGTTAGGGTACCTTTTGTATATGGTGGTTCTCTTCCTGATTTCGAGTAATACACTGAGAGCAAGCACACACATAAAATGAATCTTATCTGAATTTGATGATAGATGCAAATTTGTTTGCTTGAAAGTGTAGGTTTTTGTTGCCCTTCTTAGGACATGCCAGCCAGAGAATAAGATGCTAGTCAAGCAAGCTTTGGATATTCTAATGCCTGCTTTACCAAAAAGGCTGCCTCTGGGAGATTCACGCATGCCAATTTGGATAAGATATACTAAAAAAATTCTGGTTGAGGAGGGTCATTCAGTTCCCAATTTGATCCACATCTTCCAACTTATTGTTCGGCATTCAGATATCTTTTACAGCTGTAGAGCACAGTTTGTACCCCAGATGGTGAATTCTCTAAGTCGTCTCGGTTTGCCATATAACACTGCAGCAGAAAACAGGCGGCTTGCAATTGAACTTGCTGGATTGGTTGTCAGCTGGGAAAGCCAAAGACAACATGAAATGAAAGTGGTGACTGATATCGATGGAGCCAGCCAAGTTAGTGATGGATTACATCCTTCATCCGGTGCTGATTCTAAGCATCAAACAGATGGATCCACATCGGAGGATTTAAGCAAACGTGTTAAAGTTGAAGCTGGTCTCCAATCACTCTGCGTCATGTCACCTGGTGGTGCGTCGTCAATCCCCAATGTAGAAACTCCTGGATCTGCTGCCCAGCCCGATGAGGAATTCAAGCCTAATGCTGCTATGGAAGAAATGATCATCAATTTTCTCATAAGGGTAAGTCTGTATGCTCCTATGTCTCAGTACTGTATTTTTTTACTTCTGGCTTGTGTCTTGTTAAAATTTTCAGTAGGAGAACCGTTAAAGAGTTGTTTTAAGTGTCAATTTTCTTAAAGGACATAAAAGTGAGATGGCAATTTGAGTAAATCTCAAAATAAAGTTATACTCTTTCTGAAATCTTAACAATGCAATTTATCTGAGTCGTAATTTTGCTGGTTCCTGATTTTCTAAGGTCCCATTGATTGTGGACTGTGGTTTCGACTTTCATTACAATATCCACAACTTTCAACCAAGTCATTTTGTCTATCAGATCGCTTATAGACGTGATACTGTTCCAGCTATTACAGTTTATTTGTTTTGTCTAGTTCTGTTCAGTAGTTTAAGTTTATTTCTCATTCTTAAAAGATTCTCCATCTATTGAACAGGTTGCTTTGGTAATTGAACCTAAGGACAAGGAAGCAAACACTATGTACAAACAAGCTTTAGATTTGCTTTCTCAAGCTTTGGAGGTTTGGCCAAATGCTAATGTGAAGTTCAACTATTTGGAAAAACTGCTGAGCAGCATGCCTTCATCTCAGTCAGATCCGTCCTCAGCTCTTGCCCAGGGCTTGGATATCATGAATAGGGTTATTGAGAAGCAGCCACATCTTTTCATAAGGAACAACATCGGCCCAATTTCACAGGTAATTTATGCTTCCAGCTTTGATCGTAGTGCACTAAACACATTTGTCTTGTTTCCTTTTTTCTCATCATATTGCTTTTATTTCTTAACTAGATATCTGAGCCATGTTTCAAATACAAGCTGCTGGATACTGGAAAATCACTTTGCTCTTTGTTGAAGATGGTATTCACTGCATTCTCGCTGGATGCAGCTAGTACGCCTCCTGATATAAAACTATTGTATCAGAAAGTCAATGAGCTGATACACAAACATGTGAATGCTGTTACTGCACCACAAGCATCAGGAGATGATAATTCTCGTAGTTCAATTAGCTTTGTGCTTCTTATCATTAAAACATTGACAGAGGTACAGAAAAGTTTTGTTGATCCATTTGTGTTGGTGCGTATCCTTCAACGCCTTGTGCGAGACCTGGGATCATCAGCGGGCTCTCATCCTAGACAAGTATGGTATTCATTCGCTGCCTTGTATACAACTGAAAATAGTGCTAGCTTTCTTTGGTATGTGAACTTTAATTATGCAAGAGATTTTACCTGCCTTGTATACAACTGAAAATAGTGCTAGCTTTCTTTATTAGTGAATATTTGAATTCTCCAAAAGGACCAAAACCTCTTTCAAGCAATCCATATGCTATGACAACCTTTTTACCAATGCTATGCACCACTGAACACGTATTTCTGTCTTGTAAGATTTTTGCAGATAAGACTAATTCCTCCTTTTCATGATCTTGTGGACCTCACTCATTTCTTTTATGTTATAAGTGGCAAGATGTCTGCCCTTACGACATAAATACTATGAACTCCAAGATATTGTTTCCTTCTCTTTAGCTTAATCCTGTCAATTCTCAGCCTTGATCATGATATCAGGATTTATGAATTCAGGTATCCTCTGGAGGTTGTTCTTCTAATGACTTACACTGGTGGTACTCATTTCCAGGTTCAGCGAACAGATTCAGATTCTGCACTAACCTCTTCCCTTCAAAGTGCTGATATTGGGGCAGTCACATCTAATATAAAGTCAGTCTTGAAACTTATTGACGAGAGGGTCATGGTAGTAGCAGAATGCAAAAAATCGGTAACTCAGATATTGAACAACATGCTTTCTGAAAAAGGTAACGATTCTAGTGTGCTTCTTTGCATACTAGACTTGGTAAAAAGGTGGATTGAGGATGATCTCAGCAAGTCACGCACATCTAGTTCACCTGGTGCTTTTCTTACCCATAAGGACATAGTTTCTTTCCTTCAGAAGCTTTCACAGGTTGATAAGCAACAATTCTCAGCTGAGGCTTTGGAAGAATGGGATAAGAAATATCTTCAGCTTTTATATGGACTTTGCTCTGATTCAACGAAGTGAGTTTATGCTTTTTCTACTTTCGTTTTCTTCCATGAGCTACATCTTTGTTGCTTGTGAAATAATGTCTTTTGTTTTGTTTCATAGGTACCCACCTGCCATACGACAAGAGGTCTATCAGAAGGTTGAAAGACATTTCATGCTTGGTCTACGTGCAAAGGATCCTGAAATGCGAAGGACGTTCTTCTTGCTATATCATGAGTCTATTGGAAAAAACTTGTTTGCCAGATTGCAGTACATTATTCAACTCCAGGATTGGGAAGCTTTAAGTGATGTTTTTTGGCTCAAACAGGGCCTTGATCTCCTTTTGGCTATCTTAGTTGAGGAAAAGCCAATCAGTCTTGCACCAAATTCTGCTAGGGTTCTACCCCTTTTGCCTTCAGGTTCGCCATCTGACAATTCTGAAACGCAACACGAAGCTCCTGTTTCACTGGAGGGTCCTGAAGAAGTTGTTTCAATGTTTGATAGTATTATCATGAAGCATGCACAATTTCTGAGTTCAACAAGCGGACTTCAGGTGATTACAATTTATTAGAGCATCTTGTTGATGCACTGATGATGTTTCCCTTGTTTTCCTGTTAGATATGAAATGTTTACCAAGATTAGTGCAAGTACCTTGGTGTATCTACCCATCGCATCAAGCTCGAGTTCATCTAGATAATATGTCATTCATAAATCCTGAGCTTTTTTTCTTTTTTCTCTGCTGTAGGTGGCTGATGTTGTTATCCCTTTAAGGGAGTTGGCTCACACAGATGCCAATGTTGCATATCATCTGTGGGTGTTGGTATTTCCAATTGTGTGGGTAACCCTACTCAAGGAAGAGCAGGTAGCGTTGGCTAAACCTATGATATCTCTCCTGTCAAAGGACTACCACAAGAAGCAGCAAGGACACCGGCCAAATGTTGTGCAAGCACTTCTGGAAGGGCTTCAATTGAGCCACCCTCAACCTAGGATGCCCAGTGAGCTTATCAAATATATTGGGAAAACGTACAATGCATGGCATCTTGCATTGGCTTTGCTAGAAAGCCATGTCATGCTGTTCATGAATGACACGAAATGTGCTGAGTCTCTTGCTGAGCTGTATCGTTTGTTGAATGAAGAAGATATGAGATCTGGTTTGTGGAAAAAGAGGTCCATCACTGCTGAAACTAGAGCTGGACTTTCACTAGTTCAGCATGGTTTTTGGCAGCGTGCTCAGAGCCTGTTTTATCAGGCAATGATTAAGGCGACCCAAGGCACTTACAATAACACAGTCCCTAAGGCTGAAATGTGTCTTTGGGAAGAGCAGTGGCTTCACTGTGCAACTCAGCTAGGCCAATGGGATGCCCTGGTAGATTTTGGAAAAAGCATTGAGAATTACGATTTATTGCTTGATAGTCTGTGGAAGCTACCGGATTGGACATATTTGAAGGATCATGTGATCCCCAAGGCACAGGTAGAAGAGACTCCAAAGCTTCGTTTGGTTCAAGCCTATTTTGCCCTCCACGACAGAAATGCTAATGGTGTTGGAGATACTGAAAACATTGTGGGGAAAGGCGTTGATCTTGCCTTGGAACAGTGGTGGCAGTTGCCTGAAATGTCTGTTCATGCGAGGTTGCCTCTCTTGCAGCAATTCCAGCAATTAGTTGAGGTTCAGGAATCTGCTAGGATTCACGTTGACATTGCTAATGGGAGCAAAGTTTCTGGAAGTTCTGCTGTTGGTGTAAATGGAAACCTTTATGCAGATCTGAAGGACATTCTCGAGACTTGGAGACTCAGGACTCCAAATGAATGGGACAATATGACTGTCTGGTATGATCTTCTGCAGTGGAGGAATGAAATGTATAACGCTGTTATTGAGGCTTTTAAGGACTTTGTTACTTCGAATCCTCAACTTCATCACCTTGGTTACCGTGACAAAGCGTGGAATGTCAATAAACTCGCTAGGATAGCTCGGAAGCAAGGTCTCTATGATGTTTGTGTTCAGATACTGGAAAAAATGTATGGTCACTCGACGATGGAAGTACAGGTACCATAAGTTTTTCTAAGATCTTTAACCCTTTGTTTCAAGAAGAGTTTTACTGAGTGCCAAATTTTTTAAAAGAGCTGTCTCTCTGGATCAAGAGTTTTGCTCTTCAGTAACAGGTTCATCATAATTGTTATAAGTTCTTGGATAGCCAGAAAGGCATCCGTTGACATTAACTATTATCCAGAACTTATGTCTGCAACTTATCCCCTCTTTTCTTTCCCTCTCACTTT